AATCAGAGCTCCTTTTAAAAAATAAAGTTTAAACCCTGGAGCTCAAAAGCAATCGGCCAACGGTGTTAGAGACTCAGAGATGATTTAAAGATGTTATGCTGATGAAGACTGACATCTAGTGGTCAACTGGAGCAACTACATGGAAAACTTTAAAATTCAAGCTCTTATTTTGAAGGGAAGATGGTTTCCTTTACTCTGTGCTTTCATTTCCTGTCACAAATCAAATCCGTCATGTACCCAGAATGCATCGCTTCAGTTCTCCAATAAACTGTTTTAAAATTACTTTATTGATGCTTCTTTAATGAAAAATCTACAACAAACAACAGAAAAAGACAAAGAAGCAGCCGAACTAGCAATCCTCAACAACTTTTTAATTTTTACACCAGGAGCTAAAGGTCTGTTTCAGGAAATCACATCCCCAGCAATCAGTGGTTGTAGGATTAAGTTGTACAAGGATTCATACACCGCTAGTTGTCAGTGTTGTGTATATATTGTACATGAATTGTCAGTTAGTAAGTGTCAAATTGAACTTGTGCTTTAAAATTAGCTTCTGCTTATTTTTCTATGACAGAAGCGTTTTTGAAGTTGCGGACCTAAACATTTTCATAAGTGCTTTAGAAATTGAGGAGCTAATTTTTGGATTAGCGCTGCCCACCACTGATGATATTGTGTTATTGTGTTACAACGTTGCACCCCACTTTAAAAAATGTGGGAGCAGCTGCTCCTCCTGCTCCATTAATCAGGTATATGGCGTGTCAGACATGGGCATTTTGGAGAATAGCTGCCCATTAGGACCACACATAGAACAATAGCCACTGATTTTACAAATCTGATGGACAGATGGATAGAMAAACAAGGCAATGCAGCACTGAGGCCTTTATAGTGTGGTCACCACATGACAGCTGAAAACCATGAAGGCATTAAAGAGCTTTTTGTTCCAACTGACCTGCAGCATTGAGAACAGGAAGAGGAGGGGGGGTAAACAAAGTGTTAGGTCAAGGTAACAAGGACAAACAAACAGCTGACAGTCTGGGTTTTCTCTCCTAGAGGACAGAGCACAGCAGCTAATCAAAGGTCACTCCTGCATGCAGTTGGTCAAGACTAGTAGGTGTGACTACATTATGGCACRAAGCAAGGCTGGGCCTGCAGCTGTATCAGGCTGCACTTTGGAATGTCAAATCCCTACAGAGTAAACATGTACGATTCAAACTGTGTAACTAAACCTTGAAATTCAGCTCAATGAAACACAAGGCCAAAGACCCTGAGACAAAATACCATCAAACTATCAACTTACTACAACTGAGGACCATTGATCAATAACCAAACTTTCCCTAGAGTTGGTCAAATCAAGGATTGTGGTTCCAGCATTATGACATCACCTGTACAATATAAACACACAAGACCCACATGCATGACGACTTCATGTCAACTTCCTTCTCTGCACTGAGCTTTGCTAAGAATCTGCAGAAAGTTTCACATTTTGCTTTGTGTTATTTTATTTTGTGGGAATTCAGCAGCAAAATTTTACCAGGAAACAGTCTTAATCATAAAAAGAAAAATAACTTCTAATGCAAACATGTCCACCATGTCTGCTGGAAACTTGTTGTTGTACGAGCTGTGCCAACGCCTCAGCCTGTTGCGTTCAGACGAGCTGGTTTGACAAGTCGTGGCTCATTAAGTACACACATAATATATCAACAGTAGCCTGCACTGTGCTTCATTTAAAACGCACAATTACTGTGGTTTATTATGAAAAATATTATACAGATCACAAGAAATCTGKTAGTCCTGATAAACAACAGATTTGGTTCATTTTCCTCCCAGTAAAAGTGAATCAMTCATTCACTCTAATCAGCTTGTAAAGACAGAGAAGTTGATCCAAAGTTTAACTCACAAATAATTCAGCCCGTCTGCAGCTGGGTTCTGTTCTCAGGTATATCCTGCTGGTGCTGTCGGTGCAGCACACACTGAGGGGAGTTYATGTGCACCAACTTGTTTCAGTTTGTTCACCTGAGCAGCTGAGCCACTCTGCACCACGTGAACCAGGACAAACGGGCGGGCTCACTCCCAGTCCACCCACCACTTCTCACACATTCTGTCAGAAGTGAGCGGGCCAGGACCTGAACTCTGATTTAAACACATTACAATCCATTCTGGCCCAATGAACCACTCTACCTCTGCATTTAAACAGCAGAACAAAACTAAGGTCAAAATGGCAGCCAGAGTTTCAGGTTCTGGTAACTGGACCCATCAGCAGGTTACTGACTTTATGCATGGGTCCATGATGATCAGTTATCTTTACTGTGATTCATTTTGTGCTTTAAACCCATGTAAGACACAACTTCAGACAGGTGTGGTGGGGCTGAGAGGAGAGCAGGTTTATAATAAATGTAGTTTTAACACTGAAAATAAATGAACGTATTTCACACAAATTATTAGTGTAGGGGTCACCTCGAGTGAAGAAACAAGATTTACTGCCTCGAAGCAGACCTCGGACAGGTCTGACGAGAGGACAGGAACTCTGTCAGAAACTGAACTCTATT